CAGACTCTGCCAACATAGCCAACAAATTGTATTGTGTGTAGGTGTTGGCTCCTTGGTCCACTTTATGAAACAGTTTCTGAGATGACACACTGACAACCCACGGTGCAGATGCTGCTTAACCAACAAAATATTTAATATATTTCATACCCATGGGTTAGCTCATGTACATTGTGACCTTCACCAAGAAGAATCACAAAAGCTGTTACAAACTTAAACTGATGTGCAAATTATAAAGAGGCCACTCTGGGTATGTCTGCACAGCAACTAGACACCAGTGGCTGGCCCGAGCCAGCCGACTAGAGCTTGCGGGGCTGTTTCACTGAGTTTGAACCCTCTGAGGTGTAACGTGGCAGCTGTTTAGCAGCAAAGAGTAAGAGCTTGCTTAGACTTAAAATGCTACAGTGGCACAGTCGTGCCGCTGTAGCATTTCAGTGTAGACATGACCTCTGCTGATGGGAGGGATTCTCCCATTGGTGCAGGTAAACCACCTCCCGAACAGGCAGTAGCTAGGTCTATGGAAGAACTCTGACATTAATCTAGTGTTGTCTATATGGGGATTTAGGTCATTTTAACAACACTGCTCACGGATGTGGATTTTTCAAACCTCTGAGCAACATAGGTAAACCAACCTAATTTTCTTGTGCGTGCTGGAGCCGTCAAATTGACAAGAAAGCTGGGCAGCCACTGAAGGGTGGGTGTAGGGCTCCAGCTCCAGCCCAGCTGCTCGTGGGCTCCCCCCTTCCAGCTTGGCTGCATCCACCCTGCTGCCCGCGCCCAGCCGTCCTGTTGCCCAGATTCCCTGCTCCCAGCCGGACTGCTGCCTGGGCTCCCAGCTCCCCGTGGGGAACCTGGATGCATGGAGGCTCCCCACTGTCCATGAGGAGCCCGGCTGCTGCCTGGAGGCTCCCGGCTCCCTGCTGGGAGCTTGGCTGCACTGAGTGCCTCCGCCATTTTGGGGTCTTAAAGCCTAAGCTCCCGCCCGAGCCCAAATGTCTACACTGTAATTTTAAAGCCCCACAGCCAGGGCCGGCTCTACAGGTTTTGCTGCCCCAAGCAGTGAAACAAACTGCCGCCGCAGATGGCAAAAGGAAGAAGCTGCCGCCAATTTGCCGCCGTGGCCGACAAAGGGGAGAAGCTGTGGCCGAACTGCTGCCACGGCCGCAGGAATTGCCGCCCCTTTCTAGTCACTGATATAAGAGGTGATCGCTAGAGTGGGGATAGCCTGTGAAGGGCCATAAATGTGAAGACAAGGAGCTTGTGTTTGTTGTGTGGTGAATAAAAAGCGGTCAGTGGAGGGGGACAAAGAGATGGGTGATGTGGTGAAAGCGACAAGCCAGGAAAAATGAACTGTGCAGCAGCAGTTTGAATGGCTATAAGTGGAACCAGGTGGAAACTGCCAAGGCCAGAGAGGAGGAGGTTGCAGCAGAGAGAAGTGGGATGATGAGGGCCTGGATGAGCCACGTAGCTGTGTGAATGGAGAGGAAAGGCCACATGCTAGAGATGTTATACACCAAGAAGCAGGCAAGATTTGGGCACAGTGTCCAGGTGACAGGCCTGAGTGACAGGCAGGATGATGGCGTTGTCCAAGAGAAAGAAACAAAAGCTTGGGGGGAAAGAATAAGAGCTCTGCTTTGGCCTTGTTGAGGTGAAGGCTGTGTTTGTATACCTACGTCAGCCAGAGGTGTGAAGAGGATTGATCCCTGACTGACACAGCTGTGCTAGCAGAAGCCCCTAGTGTTAATGCAGTTATAACTGCAAAACTGCTATTTCACAAGTATAGCTTGTTTCACTTGTGGGGGTGTTTTTACTATACCAGTACAGAGTGGAGCTTTGCCGGTATAGCTGCATCCACACTAGAAGGCCCTTGCTGGTAAAGTAGACCAGTATTCTTATACTGGTAAAGCACTCCTAGCCCTGATCTACACAGAGTTAGGTCGATGCAAGACAGCTTACATCAACCCAACTCTGTAAGCATCTACACTAAAATGTTGCTCCCGCCCATGTAACTCACCTGCTACGCCGATTTAATAACTCCACCACCCCAAGAGGCATAGAACTTAGGTTGATGAAGTTAGGTTGACGCAGTGTCACTTACACCGACTGCGTCACTTACATCGATTGTTGCTGGTGTTCAGAAGCCATCCCACAATGCCCTACACTGACAGTTCAATTGGTGCCGGTGTTCCTGGTGAGGACGCCCAGCACTGACACAGGCACAACAGTGTGGACATGCAAAAGCGATTTATTTACTGCAGTGGCTGTACGTCGATGTAACTTAGGCCATGTCTACACTAGAGACCTTACAGTGGCACAGCGGTACTGATGCAGCTGCACTGCTGTAAGATTTCTTGTGCAGCCACTCTATGCTCTATGCTGACGGGAGAGAGCTCTCCCGTCAACATAATTAGATCACCTGCAATGAGCGGGGGTAGCTATGTCGGTGGGAGAGCATCTCCTGCTGACATAGCACTATCCACACTGGCGATTCTGTCAGTGTAACTTACGTCGTTCAGAGGGGTGGTTTTTTTCACACCCCGAACGACATAAGTTATACCAACAAGAGTGCTAGTGTAGACATAGCTTTAGGTTGACATAAGTTTGTAGTGTAGACATACCCCTAGCGTAGACATGGCCTAAGTTGACAGCTGGACATTCATGAGGAGATTTCAGAGAGACAGATCAAAATTTTAGTTGTGACAGAAGGAGAGAAGCCAGAGACTTGTTGTCTATGTCTCTCTCTTTCCTTCTCTAGCTCCTGTGCACTTGTACAGCCAGCGGTTTTGTTTGTTTGTTTGTTTTCTTTCTTTCTTTTTAAATTATGGTTGTATTTACATAGAGGTTCAAGTCAAGTGTGTACAACCAGTGACAGGAGGGAAGGGCCAAGTGTTAGTAGTTAAACATGAGTCACTGGGGAAAACAAGTTTACTATAGATCCCTATACAAAAACTGCATGCTAGTGACCCTGTGAAATGTCCAAAACTTAGGCAGACTCTTAGCCCTCATTTACACACAGATTTTGTACCAGTTTCACTATTTCTATTAGGGATGTGAATTTTTACTGACACAGTTATACCAATACAATCCCTAATATGGATGCAGTAATGCCAGTAACCTGGTCTACACTAGGAAATTAGATCAGTATAACTACATAGCTCAGGGGTGTGAAAAATCCACCCCCGAGTGATGTGGTTAAACCAACCTAACCCCCAGTGTAGACAGAGCTAGGTTGATGGGAGAATTCTTCTGTTGACCTAGCTACCAACTCTCTGGGAGGTGGATTACCTACGCAGATGGCAGAACCCTTTCTCTTGCTGTAGGTAGTGTATTCACTGAAGTGTTACAGCAGTGGTGTGTTTTAAGTGTAGACAAGCCCTTATACTGGTAAGCTTATACCCCTGCCCATACAGAAATAAGCCATACACATATAAGCACCTTTGTTTTGATGTTTAACTGCAGCCACTCTGGGGATTGTACCATTTAAACTATACTGGTATACTTCAAGAGATACAATTTTTGTGTGTGCTAACGTTTACCAAATGTAGATCATGTTTACACTAGGAGCACTTTACCAGTGTAGGAGTACCGGTATACTAGACTTGCAAAGCACTCCTAACCTATGTGTAGACAGCAATTATGAGGTATGACTGTAGCTCCCATAGACAGTCTCGAGCTAACTTTAGCTAGCTTGGGTACCAGTAGCAGTGAAGCCATGGAAGCATGGCTTCAGCGTGGGCTAGCCAGCCAAGTAATTACCCGGGGTTCTGGGTGGGCTTGTACAGCCCATGCTTTGTGCTGCCACTTCACTGCTCCAGTACCTAAACTAGCTAGGTTAAAGCTAACTTGGGTATGCCTGATACTGCAATCACACCCTATGACTGCAGACGTACCCCTAGTGTATGGGACAGAGCTAAACTGGCAAAGCTGCACTCTGTATGGTACATTAAAACCACCCCCCAGGTGTGAAAGAAGCTGAACTGGTAATCTATACTAGGGACTTGTGCAGGCTTAGCTGTGGTCAGTCAGGGATCATCCATGCCCTTAATCGACATAGCTATACCTGCAGAAGTCTGTAGTGTAGATGTAGCTGTAGAATCAGCTGTAGAGGTGGGAAGTAGGAGACACAAAGCAAACCCAGAGAGGAATGTCTCTGGTATCAATGTGACAGAAAAGATGATGAGGTGTTTTCTGCTCTGAAATATATAAGGCAAAGGGGAAAAGATATTTTTGGTAATTATTAAAAAGGATAAAATACCTTTCACTAAAGAGAGAGAAAGAAAACCTATGGTGCCAACTCTTGTGACTTTATCACAAGTCTTCAAAGGATTGGCGTTTATCTTAAAGCCCCAGCTCCTGGAGGCATGTGATGAAGTGAAAATCCCAGCTTTCCTCCCCAACCTTTTTTTTTTTTTTTTTTTTTTAAAGTAAGTTTCTAGCCCTCAGGATTGCAGTGAAAAGCCTGAAAACCTGAAGCCAGTGCACTCTAAGACAAATCAAAACAATCCCAATTATGTAGCTAGGTATGTAAGAACAACCTCCTGATTTTTAAACCAGTTTCATAATCTTGGGGGCCTGACCCAGGAGGTTTGAATGCTTGGGATTGGCAGTACTGGAAAGAGAGAGCAGCAGGCTGCCCCTGTATAGCAATTCCCCCGCCGCCCCCCTCCAGAAATCTTTATGCTAACGGCGCCCAGACCCACGGCCCAGCAGCCCCTTTTACTAGGGATCACACTCCACAGGCAGCCGGGTGACTGCGCGTTCTGGGGGCAGGGATTCCTGCCCTTCAAGGCACAGCGTGGCACGGCAGGAAAAGACCCGCGCACTGAACCGGGCCGAGCTGGCTGAGCCCTGATCAGCGCCGAAAGCCGCTGGGGGAGGGAAGGGTTAAAGCGGGCTCGCAGTCGACGCGCAGCTGCCCGAAGCCATTGGGTTGGCTGGCTCGGCTCCAGCCTGGGCTGGGACGGGGAAGGGTTAAAGGGGTGAGGAGGCGTCTCCGACCTGCCCCAGGGGTTGGCGGTTGCAGCTGACTCCTCCTGGTCCGAGGAACTGAAAGCAGCGGGGGCAGGCCAGTAGCCACATCGACTGCGTCTCGGCGAGGGGAAGGAGCCTCTTACGCGTCGCTCGTCCCAGCTGCAGGTGAGAGCGCGGCGCCCTTCCCCGCCCCCCAGCAGGCGCCGCTCGCTCGCTCGCTCTTGGGCCTGGGCAGAGCCGGGAAAGGGGCCGCGCTTTGGAAACTTCCCGGGAAAGTGACCAAGAGGGTCCAGGGCGGGCGAGATGGGGAGAGGGGTCTGCAGCTGTGTAGGGGTGAGGGTACCTGCCCCCGGGGCACGGAGCTCTTCCCGGGGTTTCTCAACGCTCCCCAGCAGCTCCGGCTCCTTAACGGCCGTGAAGTGGGGTGTCCGGGCCCTGTAGCCGAATGAAAATGGGGCAGGAGCGCCGGGTCTCCCCGCTGCGTTCAGCGACCTCTCCGTGGGGGGGGGGGGAGGGTTGCTGATGCTCCAGGAGAGCCCAGATTTCCCGGGGGTGGGGTCTCTGCCCCTAAGCAGAGTTTGCCCCCCTCCCGTGGAGGGGTTGGAGAGCGGTGGGCTGTGCCCTCCCCCCGCCAAGTGGAGGCGTTGAGACCCGTAGCGAGTAGCAGCGCTGGTTTGTGTTCTCTTGATCTGGGGCCAAACGCGACGGGCATGTCGTGGAAGGAGCTGCTGGTGTTGTAAATCAGCTCGGTAGGATCTCTTCCCTCCCTCTTCCCCCCCCCCCCCCAGCTTGGGAGATTCCCTAGCACAATCCCCGCGTGTCTGTGTGTGTGTGTGTGTCACTGGAGCTGCAGTTGCGCCTGCCTCCCGGAGCGAGGGGGACTTTCCCAGTGGGCGAGATTGGACCGAAGCGTATCGAGGCTTTCACAAGCTGAGTGGTGGGAAACTCCGTATGAACTTTCCAGAGAAAGCGGAGGATCAGAAAACCCCGGGGACAGCGCGCCCGTCTGAGAAGGCGGGGGCCCTGTGCCTGGGGACTGTGGCGTACTTCTCTGGCACCCCTTGCACAGAGGGCAGCCCCTCCGGCTAGAATCCAGCCCGTGGGCCGTTTACTTCGCAGGGCCCGAGAGCGCACTAGGGGCTGCCAGTGGGAACGAGCGGTCCCAGCCTGGAGGGGCTTGAGCTGTCCGAGGCGGCAACTAGCCAGCAGCGATTATGGCTCTTTCTTCAGCTGCCTGGTTTGGAGGAAAACGTTAAAAGATCTGCGTTTAATGGAGTTTGTCTTTCGGTGCAAGCGGGTACCATTGCAATGCTAGATCTATATATAAATAACCTCTCGCTAAGGTTTTCTAAATGGAGCTAATTTGACCTGCCACAGAGGACTCTTTTTTTTTATTATTATTTTTTTGAAACAGAAAGAAAATTTATTGGTAACGCTTACAGAATTACCAAAGAAAACAAAACAACTATGCAACAAAACAACGCAAACAGAAGGTATAACACAGCAGCTTTCAGGAGGGAGAAGTGTTCAGGCTAGCCTGGGCCCAGAGCGGGGGGGCTTCCTCGACACTCGTGGTCTTCCACCCCCTCGAGTTACCTAGTGCCGCGCCCAGTGTCACCGATCCTCCCTCTCCTGAGAGTGCCCGGTAAGATGGGCACGGCTGCGGGGTGGGCGGTTTAGGGGTGGGGGGGTAGACACCCATGTATTACAGGACCCCTCCTAGATGACAGGAATGATGATATCCACAGCGGCAACGGCTGGGGCTGGCGTCTCTCGCTCTTCCCCTGAATCAAAGGGTCAGACGGAGGGAACCGGACGGGGTCACCGAGCAAAGAACCCCAGACAGCGCCCACTGCTCCTCGCCACAGAGGACTCTTCCTTAAGAAGGTTATTTACTTCAGAACACTTCTGTCTGACCCTTAGCCAAACAGCTGCGTCTGCTGGGAGCTGCCTTTACTTTGCCATGCTGGCTTCATTAAAAGCTGTTGTTCCTGGTGTGGGTTTAAACTCAAGGTAGTGATGGCACTGTAATGGGAAAGGACTGCCCTGAAACCTGAATGAAGCTGTAGCTGCTCCAGGGGGTTTCTCCTGCTGGAATGCAGCAGCTGCTGCCAAGTTACTAGGCCTTAGCTGTGGTGGAGGCAGGTGCTCTGATCTCATTCAGCCATGCCAGCTTACTCCAGAAGCTAAGGTTGGAAAAGTCCCATTTTACTACCAGTGCAGGATTGTTCCCAATAGTTCAGTGCCTTGTGCAATCTGGTATAAGGATATCACCTGAGGCTCCTCCCATCAGCCTGTCACCTGTGATTGTTATCCAGCCTAATAAATCTTGCTTCCTGTGGTACAGAGCCGTCTAATCTCTCTCCCTTCTTGATGTTTGCCTCTCTACTAACACAGGTGATTATCATGGTGTTTCTTCCACCAGCCAGTCTTGTTAATTGTTTCTTACCAAGCTAGCTCACTTGTTCCCCATATGTCATTCCCTCCACAGCTTCCTCATTGCTCTTAGGCCTGATCTTTTCTAAACTCCAACTTGTGTCAATATCTTGTAATGTGGTGCCCAGAACTGAATACTGTATGCCAGGTGTAGTCTTGCTAGAGCTGTATAAAGTGGCATTGTTACCTTGCTGTTCAGTGATGCTACTGTATTCTGCTGCCTCGCAGAGTACCCTACAACACTGTGTAACCTCTGAGTTGCAGACACCTCAGGAATGGAGGTGGTTCGTAATGCTGAAAAGTTTGTAACTCTGAACAAAACATTATGGTGGTTCTTTCAAAAGTTTACAACTGAACATTGACTTAATACAGCTTTGAAACTACTAGGCAGAAGAAAAATGCTGCTTCCATTTATTTTATTTTTTTTAGTAGTTCACATTTAATACAGTACTGTACTATATTTGCATTTTTTGTCTCTGCTGCTGCCTGATTGTGTACGTCCAGTTCCAAATGAGGTGTGTGGTTGACTGGTAAGTTTGGAACTCTAGTGTTTGGAACTCTGAGGTTCTACTGTATATACCACAGTGGCTTCAGTCTAAAGTGCAATGGAAACCTTGACCTAGTGGTCCATCTAAGCTTTTTCAACTGTAATTTTCAGTGTTGGTGCTAAAAGAAAAGGAGTACTTGTGGCACCTTAGAGACTAACCAATTTATTTGGTGCTGAATGCTTCAGAGGAAGGTAACTGTAGGATACCAAGTAGTCTGGGACCCTTCGATTTTAGAGATGACATCTGTGTCCTATCACAGTGGTTAAAATCTGCTGGGATGCTCCGCAACTGTCCAGGACCAGTGGCAGGACATTCTTTGAGGAAGTCTGCTTTTTGAACTTTCTCCTTATGATGACCCACCGCTTGCCCTAGTGTTAAACTATACCTTTTAGACTGCAAGGATCACCTGTTCTTTCAGGCTTTTAGTTATCACTAAGGCAGGGGATGCGTATGCTACTTTTTTTGGCATAACTTATCTGTTTAGCTACTCGGATACCTTGCAGTAGAAATCATGCAGGAACTTAAATAGTTGGTAGGTTTTTTTCTGACCCTATTTGGTGATCAGCATATGGCTTAAGAAGCTGTACGTTATCCTGCCTAGTATTGCTGCACATGCTGCCTTTGTTCAAGTGAATGTCTGATCCTTCTTTTTGTCTGGAACTGTGATGAGCTTTTTTTAAAATTGCCTTAGTGTCCTGCAGCTGAGAGCTTCACAGGCCACTTTTTTTTCCCCTTGGCTCAGTATAGTTATTCCTAACCCTTCTAAAATATATTTGCCTTGCCTTGGAGTCTTCCGGGGCATAAGTGTGCCACAATTATACACTAATGGTACTTGGGTGGCTTTGTTGCCTTGATAATGGGGCTCTAATGCTGTTCAATGTCCTAACAGGATCTGCAGAGACTTGTACTGAATATGACAAATTCCAGAAATGGTCAAGCCTGTTGCATCTAAAAAGGATGTTGGTAATGGCTGAGAGCATCCATTGTAGTTCAATATATAGATGTTGGCTGTGAATGATCCACTTTGCCCTAGGAGTTGTGATGAGTCTGTTACAGTCTGAGAGAGGACTTATGGGAGTTGCATCTAAATCCCACTGCAAGGCCACTGGATTCTGCAGGACTTTGGGAACTCTGTGGCAACTTCACTTTAAACAAATGGTAGTTTGAAAAAAGAGCAGCCCCTGTATATTTTGTCCTTTGTTCCTATGGTTTTCAGAGACAAGATGGGTAGGGTAATGTCTTTTATTGGACCAACTTCTGTTGGTGAACTAGAGGAGTTCTTGGATACACAAAATTCTTCTACAGGCTTTTGGAATATTGGAGACTTTACAAGATATATCTTTGAATCTTTCTTTTAACTCAGGGTCAGAGTTTGGGATTTTGGCAGCTGGGGCTCTGTCCCTTGCCCACAACACTGGGGCACTAACACAGTAGTGACTTCGGTCCAAGAGTGCCCATTACAGAATCACCAGTGCTGCCACTTGCAATACCATGGGTTCTTTTGGACGTCTCTCATTCAAGTACTGAACAGGTCTGACCCTGTGTAGCTTCTGAGAACACAGCCTGATTGGCTGCACATGTGGATTCTGCACAAGTGCAAGTTTGGGACTGAAGGAAGGCTTCACAATCCTGGGATATGTGACAATTCCTCTCTACATAGGACTTGCACTTTGGGATTCTACCATCTCCCCAGGCTGCCTCTGTCTGTGGGGGGGGGGGGGGGAATGCTGCTTTTCTTCAATCTCTGATACTGGAGTCTGATGATACAGTGAAGTTGAATTAGTATGCAATACTCATGCTCACATGCCTACTCATGCTCACATGCCTTCTCAGAACTCTGAAAGTCAGAAACTTGTGGCTAGATTCCTACATACTAGCGAGATTGATCTATTTTTATAATGCCACAACTTCCATGGCAGAAATAGTATTGCAAAGAACTGTGGAGAGGAGGCTAGTGTTTCAATGACAACTTCGCAATCCCAGTAATGTTGCACATATTGCTGTATATAAGTATCTGATGACAAACTGGCTGCAAAGGTGACAGATCCTTGGTGCTTTATAGGATGGCTGAACAAGCACTGTACATGCAGACGCTGATGGGACATGGACCTGTGGAAAAGGAAGCAAATTGGCTTGGTTGTGCTCTGGGACACTTCCAGGTGGCACTCTTGTGGGTGTCCCAAGCACAGGATACTAGATTTGGTTGGAACAACTCACTGGAATATCATTGCCATTCCTGCACAGGCACAAACTGATATAGGGGTCTGGTACCAAGTGTCTCACTTGGAGCAAGAGTTCCAGCCCTTCTGTAAAAACATGAGATTTGTGTTCCTGAGGTACCTTGATGCTTGTTCACATTGGGATGTGTAAGTCCCCCAAAGCACCGGTTAGTCACCCTGAAAGCCAAGATCAAGATTCAGGGACAGTCCCCATTTAATGGAAGTGGATGGCTTTTTCTCTTGCTTCCTCTTCTGTTATCAATAGCACATGTGTAATTTCCTCTATGGGAGAGAAGTCTTTTGGACTAGAAGAACAGTTTCACTTAACCCAGCTGGTTTAGTCCAGACCCCAACTTGACTTTTTAGTTGATCTTATCTATTGTGCTGACCAGCAGCAGTTCCTGGGAAGAACACCCAGGGCTGTGTGTATGACAAAGTCGCTAAACACTTCCTGCTTCTGTGTGTGAGTGCACAGTGCTGTGAGTCTGAGTTATTAGTGTGAAACTGTGGTTGGGGCTAGGGAACCTGCTCCTCTCAGTATGGGGTGAAGGCAGCTGGGCGGATGCCTGAGGCATTCACTCAGTTTCACACCCATGCATGTGACAGACTGAGAGAGCTTCCTTCATAGGGCTAGCCCTACACAATTGCCTGGAGTCTCCTCCCTTGTGAAGACTTCACAGCTTTAATGATGCAGCTCATCTGGACTGTTCTTGTTCCAGTTAGCATGCCACTTTGTTTGGTCTCTCAGCACAGGCAGGTGCAACATAACCTGTTGCACCTGCCTGTGCTGAGATGCCCTACCAGGGCCTCTTCAAAGCTCAGTATCCAGGTGCTTGCATCTGCTCCTCTTCTCTGGGTGCCTCCTCCTTTCGTTCTAAGACTTCATACAGTGTGACTGAACTTCATGTGGAGTTCTTAGCTTGACACTAGCTTCTCCTCCTCCTCCTTGCTGTGAAGATGTCTGAATTGGGGACAGAGCTTGAGGCATGTGTCACAGAGGAGCTCTAAAGTTATATCAACGCTACAGCCTATGTCAGTAAAACTATGTCGCTCAGGAGGGTGAATATTCCATCTCCCGAGCGACATAGCTTACACGGACATAAGCGCTTGCGTGTGCACAGCGCTATGTTGGCGGGAGAGCTTCTCCCACCAACATAGCTTCTGCCACTCATGGAGGTGGGATTTTTATGCTGATAGGAGAGCCCTCTCCTGTCGGCATAGAGCATCTTCACCAGACACGCTGCAGCGGCGCAGCTGTATCAGTACAACTGCACTGCTGCAAGCTGTGTA